GGTTTGTCATACATGGCCTTTATTATGTTGAGGTACTTGCTTCTATACCCCTTTTGTTGAGAGTATTTAACATAAATGGATGTTGAATTTTGTTGAATGCTTTTTCAGCGTCTATGGAAATGATCATGTGAATTTTTTCCTTCTTTTTTGATGTGGTGGATGATGTTGACAGATTTTCAAATGTTGCGTCATCTTTGCATCTCTGAGATGAATCCCACTCGATCATGGTGTATGATCCTCTTGATGTATTTTTGAATTTGGTTTGCTACTATTTTGTTGAGTATTCTTACATCTATGTTCATCAGAGATATTGGTCTGTAATTTTCTTTTTTATGATATCTTTGTCTGGTTTTGGTATTAGAGTGATGCTGGCTTCATAGAATGAGTTTGGAAGTATTCCCTCCTCTACTATTATTTGGAAAATTTTAAGGAGAATGGATATTATGTCTTCTCTATATGTCTGATAAAGTTCAGCAGTGAATCCATCTGGACCAGGGGTTTTGTTCTTGGGTAGGTTTTTTATTACCAATTAAATTTCTTTGCTGGTAATTGGTCTGCTTAGATTTTCTGTTTCTTCCTTGGTCAGTCTTGGAAGGTTGTATTTTTCTAGGAAGTTGTCCATTTCTTCTAGGTTTTCCAGCTTGTTAGCATATAGATTTTCATAGTATTCTCTAATAATTTTTTGTATTTCCATGAGGTCCGTTGTGATTTTTTCCTTTCTCATTTCTGATTCTGTTGATGTGTGTAGATTCTCTTTTTATTTTAATAAGTCTGCCTAGGGGCTTATCTATTTGGTTTATTTTCTCAAAGAAACAGCTCTTGGTGTCATTGATTTTTTCTATTGTTTTAATCTTCTCAATTTTATTTATTTCTTCTCTGATCTTTGTTATGTCCCTCCTTCTGCTGACTTTGGGCCTCATTTGTTCTTCTTTTCCCAGTTTCAATAATTGTGACTTCAGACTATTCATTTGGGATTGTTCTTCCTTCTTTAAATATGCCTGGATTGCTATATACTTTCCTTTTAGAACTGCCTTTGCTTCATCCCACAGAACTTGAGGCTTTGTGCTGTTGTTGTCATTTGTCTCCATGTATTGCTTGATCTCTGTTTTAATTTGGTCATTGATTCATTGATTATTTAGGAGCATGTTGTTAAGCCTCCATGTGTTTGTGAGCCTTTTTCTACTCTTTGTACAATTTATTTCTAGTTTTATGCCTTTGTGGTCTAAGAGGTTAGCTGGTAGAATTACAATCTTTTGGAATTTACTGAGGTTCTTTTTATGGCTTAGTATGTGGTCTATTCTGGAGCATGTTCCAGGTGCTCTTGAGAAGAACGTGTATCCTGCTGCTTTTGGGTGTAGAGTTCTGTAGATGTCTGGTAAATCAATCTGTTCTAGTGTGTTGTTCGGTGCCTCTGTGTCCTTACTTATTTTCTGTCTGGTGGATCTGTCCTTTGGAGTGAGTGGTGTGTTGAAGTCACCTAGAACAAATGCATTTTATTCTATTACCTCCTTTAATTCTGGTAGTATTTGTTTCACATATATTGGTACTCCTGTATTGGGTGCATATATATTTATAATGGTTATATCCTCTTGTTGGACTGAGCCCTTTATCATTATGTAATGTCCTTCTTTATCTCTTGTTACTTTCTTTGTTTTGAAGTCTATTTTGTCTGATACACGTAGTGGAACACCTACTTTTTTCTCCCTATTGTTTGCATGAAATATCTTTTTCCATCCCTTCACTTTTAGTCTGTGTATGTCTTTGGGTTTGAGGTGAGTCTCTTGTAAGCAGCATATAGATGGGTCTTGCTTTTTTAATCTATTCTATTACTCTGTGTCTTTTGATTGGTGCATTCAATCCATTTACATTTAGGGTGATTATTGAAAGATATGTACTTATTGTCATTGCAGGCTTTAGATTTGTGATTTCAAGGGTAGCTTCTTTACTATCTAACCATCTAACTTAATTCTCTTATTAAGCTATTATAAACATGGTCTGATGATTCTTTATTTCTCTCACTTCTTATTCCTCCTCCTCCATTTTTTATATGTTAGGTGTTTCAATCTGTACTCTTTTGTGTTTCCTTTGACTGCTTTTGTGAGTAGTTGATTTTATTTTTTGCCTTTAGTTAGTATTTGGTTGGTCTGCTGTCTTTGTTGTGATTTTATTTTCTCTGTTGACATCTATTTAGCCTTAGGAGTGCTTCTATCTAGAGCAGTCCCTTTAAAATATCCTGTAGAGGTGGTTTGTAGGAGGCAAATTCCTTCAACTTTTGCTTGTCTGGGAATTGTCTTATCCCTCCTACATATTTAAATGATAGTTGTGCTGGATACAGTATTCTTGGTGCAAGTCCCTTCTGTTTCATTGCATTAAATATATCATGCCATTCCCTTTGGCCTTTAAGGTTTGTGTTGAGAAGTCTCATGATAGTCTGATGGGTTTTCCTTTGTAGGTGACCTTTTTTCTCTCTGTAGCTGCCTTTAATACTCTGTCCTTGTCTTTGATCTTTGCCATTTTAATTATTATATGTCTTGGTGTTGTCCTTGGGTCCCTTGTGTTGGGAGTTCTGTTGCCTTCCATGGTCTGAGAGACTATTTCCTCCCCAAGTGTGGGGAAATTTTCAGCAATTATTTCTTTGAAGAAAGTTTCTATCCCTTTTTCTCTCTTCTTCTTCTTCTGGTCCTCCTATAATGCGAATATTGTTCCATTTGGATTGGTCACACAATTCTCTTAATATTCTTTTATTCCTGGAGATCCTTTTATCTCTCTCTGCCTCAGCTTCTCTGTGTTCCTGTTCTCTGATTTCTATTCCTTTAATGGCCTCTTGCACCTCATCCAGTCTGCTCTTAAGTCCTTCCAGAGATTGTTTTATTTCTGTATTCTCTCTCCCAACTTGATCCTTTAGCTCTTATATATTTCTCTGCATGTCTATCAGCATGGTTATGACCTTTATTGTGAATTCTTTTTCAGGAAGATTGGTTAAATATTTCTCCCCAGGCCCTCTCTCAGGGGTTGTCTGGGTGATTCTGGACTGGACCAAATTCTTCTGCCTTTTCATGGCTATAGAGGTAGCTGTAGGCAGGTAACTCATGTGTCAGCTGGGAGAACAAAGTCCTTTCCTGTTTGCTGGTCACCTTGCCCTTCTCCACTGCCTGTGTCAGTTACCCACACACCTGTCGCAGCCTCTGGATTAATCCCCTAAGCTGCTGTGGGCAGAGTCACTATCAGGGTAGCCCAGAGAGCTGTGTGGAGTGGCAGGCACACCAAGTGTGCTCTCCCATGAGAACAGCACCCTTTGTGCCTTGCCCCGGTTTCCTCTGCCTGTGTCAGGCAGTTCCGCATTGGTGGTGGCCTCTGGGTCTGGCCCAGTTGGCTGTGCACCAGGAGGAGATTCTGGTCAGTTGCTGTGGGTGCAGCTGCTCCCCAGCTACTCTGCCACTGCTAGAGGGTGCAAGGCCCCTCCCTGGCTGCTCTGCTGCTCTGTGCATGTGTGGGGCTGCTCACCAGCTGCTCAGCCACTGCGTTGGGGCCAAGCTGGAGGGGAAATGACTGGAAGGCTGTTTATCACCATGAGGGGCTTCAGGGCTATGTTGCCTCCCAGGGGGCTGTGGCACCCTAAGTTCCCCAGGATTCCCAGCTGCTGGGCTGAGTGTGCCAGGACACTTCTGCCCAGCTGTGAGGCCCCTGTCCCTTTAAGACTTTCAAAAAGCACTGACTTTTCTTTTGTCCCAGGGAACTGGCTGCGGGGACCTGCTCACAGATTTTACTTTTCCATATCTCAAATATCCAGCACACCATGCAATGTATGTCTACACTCCCTGTGTGGATTACTAGACCTGGTTATTTAGCAGTCCTGCACTTCCACTCTCTCCCCGCTCTGAATCCTTTCTTCCTGCCGGGGAGCTGGGGTAGGGGGAATGCTCAGGTCCTTCCAGGCCATGGCTTGTATCTTACTCCCTTCGTGAGATGCTGAGTTCTCACAAATGTAGATGTAGCCTGGCTGTTGTACTATATCCTCTGGGCTCTCTTTTAGGAATAGTTGTATTTATTGTATTTCAAAAATATATATGGTTTTGGGAGGAGATTTCCACTGCCCTATTCATGCCACCATCTTGGCTCCTCTTCTCCCTATTACAGATTTTAAGGTGAAGGTGTTCAGTCTTTCATAAGTATGTTGTTATCGGTAGACTTTGTCTAGATATTCCACATCAGGTTGGTGTAGTGTCTTTTCATTTCCAAATTGCTGAAAGTTTTTCTCATCAGCAGATGATGAATTTTATCAAATGTTTTTCTTCATCAATTGGTCTAATGATATTATATGACAGATTGTACTTACAGACTTCCAAATTTTGAAAGTTTTACATGTCTGATTAAAATTCCAATGATCTTAGAATGAAATTATTTGCATATATTGGTGGATTCACTTTGCTAGTATTTTCATTAAAGATTTTTGTGCATCAGTTCATTAGAGATACTGGTCTATGGTTTTCTTTCTTTGTATTCTTTGTCTCATTTTAGTATCAGGGTATGAATTCATACAGAATTGGAAAGTATTCTTTCCTCTTTTATATCATGGAAGAGATTATATAAAATTGATCTTAACTTTTTTTTAAATGCTTGGCAAAATTCTACCCTGGAGCCACCTAGGAAATAGAAGTTTCTTGTCCAAAAGTATTTTTATTAAAAACTCAATTTTAAAAAAATGATTATAGGCCCATTCAGGTTACATATTTCATTTTATTTGAATTTTATAGTTTATGAGTTTCAAGTAACTGGTTCTCTTTTCTTTAATTTGTTAATTTTATGAGCATAAAATTACCTGTAGCATTTCCTTAGTATCCTTCCTTGGCTGTAGAATATGTATTCATTTCATTTTTATCTCCTCTTTTCATTCCTGATATTGATGACATGTTTTATCTATTCATCTTCATTGTTCTTGCTAGAGGATTATTAATTTTGTTGATTTTTTTTAAGGACTACATTTTTGGTTTCATTAATTTTGTCTTTTGCTTTCCTGTATTCAGTTTCATTTATTTCTGATCCTAATTTTTATCTTTTCTTTCATTCTGCTTCTTTTGGATTTATTTTATTTTGGTGAACTAATGATAAGACTTTAAAATACTGAGCTAAAATCCAGAAATCTAGAGAATTTAACCCTGCTGTTCCCATGGGGTCTATTTCTCATTTCCTCCAAGGTATCTGAGAAGTTAAGCACAGCTTTTGAAAGTCTTGTGGGTTTAGGCAGATAAAAGTTGGATTCCAGGTTCCAGAAAAAGATAAGATGGGAAGAGGAGGTCTTGTATAGCCTGTGATTTTAACTGGATTGTGAAGACCTTAGAGCATGGCAGTTAAGTGCAAATTCCTCTTCTTTTTCCTTTCCTTTCTTTCCCTTGGAAGTGGTAGCACTGGTAAGGACTAAGGGGTTACTGGGCTCTAGCAGGCAACAGAATACCTGGAGGATGAGGAAGTAGCAGTGAGGCCAGGGGTCAAGTAATTGAAGGCTACAAAATGTGGCCAGCAAGTTCTTGAGGTTGATTACTTATAGTAGGGGTGGGGATAGGGGATTAAACAAATAAATATATTAAAGATAATGAGAAATAATTAAAAACTTTGGAGAATGAGTATAAATAGAGGTTTTAGATTGGAATTGTAAGTACTGATGTAAAGTTTTATTTTTTAAGTGTATATATATATATACACACACACATATATACATATATACATATATACATATATACATACATATATATATATATGTACATAGACTCAGGAGATTGAGAACTAGAATGGGATAGCTGTGCATTAAGATGGCCTAGGTACAATGAGTCTAGTAACAGTGAGCATAGAAAGTACCCAGGACTAAATGAAGAAACTCAAATGCCTTTTGTAGGCACTGGTTCCAGGGTTGAGGCAAGGAAAATACATGATAAACCAGAAAATAAGGAAATTCCTTAAAGATGATAGGGTAGTGTCAAAAAGACACAGAGCCAATTTGAAGGAATTTCCACTTGTCAGGTCTGAGATAATTTGAGTATCAAAATAAATCATGATATGGCATAGCTTTTGAATTAAATAGGAAGACATGAGTTCATATTAATATGAATGAATAAATGAAGGGGAAGGAAAAGTTCTTTCTTATACTATAATGTCCTTTAATAAATTAATAATAGAAACTATTGATAGAATTTGAAACCATTTGAGTGGTGAAAGACTCAGGATAAATGGTCACTGGATGCTAAATACAAGGGTTTCGGTTATGTTCTAAGATTATCTCCCCAGAAAATACTAATCAATTACAAAGATAGGAAAATGACATTGTAATAGAGAAACAAGGCAGACACCAATCTAACTAAATGACCAAGTTTGACACCACTAGTGACGGAACAGCTGATACTGCATGCCCTCTAACATGATACTCTGAGACAGCCACAGCAACTTTCCTGTTCTAGTCCTGCCAAAAATGTATGTCATTGTTAAGCTAGGCAAGGTTGACAGACACTGTACAAAACAAAATGTTATACACTAAAATTGTAAAGGTCATCAGACAGAACATATTGAGTAACTGTTGAGACTGAAGGAAAAAGTGATATGACAACTAAATGGAACACGTAATCTCAGATTAGATTCTGGACCAGAGGGAAAAGAACATAGAACTCTTAATGAAGCAGCTTGAATGGATGTGAATGCGACATATGAATTGGTTGGTAGTATGGCATCAATGTTGATTCTTAATGTGGTTACTTATGGTTATAGAAGTTACCTGTATTTGGTAGCACACACACACACTGGCATACTTAAAAGTGATTATACTACAGCTTGATCTCAGATGGTTCAGCAAAAGAATTGTGCTTTAAAACTTGGTATTTTTAAAAAAGATTTTTGAGGTATAATTGATAGAAAAAGTTGTACATATTTAATGTGTACAATTTGCTCTCTTGGACATTTGCCACTTAGTCTTGAAAAATACCAGTTGGTTAAGGAAAAACTGACTAGTTGTTCTAAGCTTGTTTCCTCATCACAAAATGAGATAATGGAGGCTGTCTCCTGAGGATATGATTAGAATTTAAAGAGAATTAGAAGCTTAGAATTATAGCCATTTGGATAATATATATGGTACAGCACTAAGGCACAGAGGCCTAATAAATGATAGTAGAGTGTGGTATCAGTGCTGGTGCTGAGGCTGGGGCAGCTGCTGGTTGGTCTTAATTTAATATGCTGCATGTGCTAAGTAAGCCACAAGCCACAGCAATTTCACATTAGTATCACAAGTATTAGAACTAGTAACTCAAAAAAGAGGATGCTTAAATATGAAACAGCTCTGAGGGAAACAAGCAAGGTCCACAGGCATGAATAGACCTCAATAGGTATTTGCCTAAAAAGCTATTTCAACTTTAGACTTCCTGTAGCGATAAAGGTAGGTCACCTGACTATTTTAGCTTTTCTGAAGAAAGGAAATACTTTTTGGTTCATGATTTCATCTGGCAGTGCTGTCTAACTGGTAGATGGATCATTCTTCATCTGGAATGAAGCAAGTTGTATAATCTTGTCTCCCTTATTGACCCCTTACCACTGTTCAATTCACTCTGCCACTAGAGGAATTCTTCTGAAACATAGTGCTGATAATCTTATTCTCTTGTTTAATGTACATCGGTGCCTTTCCACAAACTTCTCTGATGGCTTCCTTCCTAGGAACTGCATCAATTTTATCACTCTCCTCTGATTTCCTAAGGAGAAAAAATTATTTTGAAGATTCAGTTATTAAGATTGAATACATTACTATTTGGATAAAAAAAAAGAGAGAGAGAAGGACACTATTTTTTTTTCCTGTGATGTTGGAATTAGGCTTCTAATGTGGAAAAACATTGACCTCAGTGAAAATATAATTTTCACCAACACCTTGTTAAATTTGTTTTATATAGAGAGGAAGCACCCATAAACTAATAATCCAGGAGCCTTGGCTTTACTTGCAAGTTCTGGCACTAAGAAGTTCTATCATCTTGTACAAAGCACCAGTCATTTTGGATCTAAATTTTCTATCTACTAAACAAGTGAGTTGGGTCAAATCTCCATTGTGTCTTCTATGTTTGATACTCAATGCTGCCAGAAAGGATCTGAAAAACTAAATTCCAGTATCCCTTTGGTCTTGCATTTCCACCCACAGGCATCTGAGCAGTGCCATCAGGGAAGGCTGCTGTCGACTCCCCTGTTTACTGGATGTAACCAGGCTCACTAAATTGTCTTCCTCAAGTCTCTACAGCTGGAGAAAATATTCTGGCTTATTCTAGGAAGTATGGCTTGCATTGTTAAGATCACATTATAAAAATCTCTATTACTACAGAACAAAAGTGCACTTTCTTTTTTTATCAGAGCTACCATTAGCCATATTGAATTTTTTCCAGTTTTATTTACAACTCTCTCTAGCCCTTTTTGCCTATTAGCTGAATAGAACTCTTCACCACTATATCTAAAAATTTACTTCAGAATATTCAACCCTTGCATTTCTTCATGCTATTCCCTTTGTCTTGGATATTCTCTGCAGCTCAGAACATGATCCACATTGAAAACTTAGCTCTAGGTCATCCATGAGGCTTTTTACTTCTGCACAGATTCCAAGGCCTCAAATTTCTTGGCCTCAATTGTTTCCATTATCTGTAAGCTTGTTTCTTTTCCTTCAACTTTTTTCTTATCATTCATAGTTTCTGGCCCACCACTCCAAACACACTTTTACTAATTGTCTCAATCCATCTGTCTTCTTGGCTCTCAGTGAATAACCCTGTAAATAGTCAGGATATGAATCCATCCAGCTATCTCCACTCATTGATGCTCTCTGAGATGTTAAGCAGTTTTGTGAAGACTGAGGACTATTATAAATTACAGTGTCTATTTAATTTGAGAAGTAAATGAGTAATATCAAGACTACAATCTATTCTGCAAGGGAAAGAAGTGACTTGGTCAAATATCTTGAAAAATGATAATGACACATCTCCTGGAAAATACATATATGACATTTATTAATGAGAGAGACTTTCTGTATGGAATAATTTTAACAGGATGCATGGCTTTTATAATAAAAGTAAACAAATAAGAAACATTAGAATCTTCAGAATTTGGAGCATAGATCTCCACAAAATATCAAATACATCTTGTGACATCAGAGTACAGATGGAATTATTTAATGATTGTGATAAATCCCCTTTTTCCTTAGTTATGACTCCACATAGTACTTTAATATCTCCTATGTGTAATATGGGTAAAAAAATATTAGAAACATTAAAATATTAGAATTGTAAAATCTAAAAGCATCTTGAGGAACAACATCATTAGTCCAAGACTTACTCTTTTGATTATACTTTGGAGTTACATGTATCATTCTTTCTAAAAAGCAAAATTGATCATGTCAGTCATTAACTTAATGTATATACAAATCTCCATTATCTTCACAGTCCAAACATGTTAACCTGGCTTCAATGTCTACTATAATCAAGCCCTAGCTTATCTTCCTTCACTTATCCAGTCAACATGTGTGTTCAACCTTCCAGCTAAACAGAACTGGTTTCAGATACCCCAGGGCTTGCCTCAGGGATCATACAGACTAACTCCCATGCATCCTTCAAATATCAGTTGAGATGCTACTTGTTCCTGGATGCCATCCCTGCCCTCAGTGTGTGAGCTAGAATTCTTCTCTTGACCTATGGCACCTCCTACATTGTCTGTTCATCTTTCCATTTCCCTGATTGGACCATGTGTCCAAGAAAACAAGAATTGTATGTTACTTGTTACATTGCTAGCACATGATAGAAACTCAGTAAACAATTATTACATGACACTTACCTGCTTTATCCTTGTCTAGTTCAGTCACATGCCTCAAAATGCCAAGCACAATAGTTCATAAAAGGAGTACTTTCAGTACAGTCAGTAATAACAACCAATACAAAAGTAACTATCACTTACTGAGGGTTTGCAATATGCTAGGCATTGTGTTAAGCTCTTTACATGCATTATTTCATTTCCTCCTTATAACAACTCTTTAAGAAAGAAACTATTATTATCCTTCTTTTACAGATGAAATTGTACCTTTGAGAGTTTATGTGTTTTTTCAGAATCATCTGGAGTTGGAATTGAAATCTAGACTCTCTGACTATGCTGACTGTCATCTACATTTATTAAATGTCTATAAATTCAGTGAAAGAATAAATAAATGAATGCATAAGACATGATCATTTTTTAATTTCTTTGAGTTAGCTGAAGTTCTAAGAATACTTGGAGCTGGCTGCCTCACAGTTTTTTTCCCACAATGAGGATGGGAGAAGTTCAGGTGGCAGATGAGTCTTCACTCTTCTAGGAGAAGCCATGTGTTTTAAATGTTTTATTCCTGATTTCTAAAAAATTAAAAGTTAGTAACTTCAAAAAGTATAAATATTTATGTGGATCTTATAGATATTTTAAAAATGGAAGCAACTTTATAATTCTCTATTGTGTTCATAATAATCATAATACATACTATGACAGAAATTGTATTTGATCGTATTTTCTCTTTCATTTCTTTTATCTAAAGGCTAGAGAATATCTAAAGGATGGAGGAAATGATAGAGAAAATAATCATATAAATTTCACTACTTTGAAAATCATCATTAACAATTTGGTAAACAGCCTTCCATATAAATACATGCATATGCACATACAGCCATCAAAATACCACACACAAAGATGGAATTTTTAATACCTTTTAATTGTTTTTTTCTTATTATGTTATACTGACACCGCAATGTCAAGAAATGTAGAACATCCTAAAATTTTAATGAGTTTATATTTTGATATCACTCCTAACTATTTTTATTAACATTTGCTATTTCTAATTTTTCAAAGTATTAAAAGAATCTGTTGTGAATATCTTTTTGCATATGTCCTTCAAAAATTTATGGATATTTTCCTAGTGTTTAAAATTTTATCACATTCAGCCCACAAAGAGATAAGTGCTCACATATTACTAGGCTCTGCTGAAGGTGTATAAGAGCTATCTTTATTTACTATTCCAGACACATGCTACACCATAAACTCAGTTAAGATTTAAATTTAAATTTACATGTTTTCCTATGTAGAAAACATAATACTAACTTCTGCTCTTGTTTATAGTCTCTTTCCTTGCACCATCTACACAACTTAAAATAAATGCATGTTTTTAAAATCAACTTTAACATCACCATTCATCAACTCTTCTTTTCTGCATTCCAGGTAAGGTATTTGATTAAAAATGACATCTTCTTTGCACTTTTCCACGTCACCCTCTTTATAGATCATGTATACAATTTCACTAAGCCAGGTCGTGCCTGTAAAAATGAAACAAACCTACATCTACCACTGACCACACAGGGCTGATGATGGGGATGGTGGACTTACAACATGATAAAGTAGAAAGGCACCAATGCAATATTATTTGAAAGGTGTCAGAATAGCCACAAGAATAAAGAAATATTTTCTCTAATATTTAATTTCAATAAATAACGATTAATTTTGTAGTAAGACACAAACACTGATGGAGTCTAAGCTTGTCCATGATGAACTGTGACATAATGCAAGGAAATCACAGTTTTGGATCTAAATTTTTACATCTAAAAAGTAAGAATATCTATGAGATGAAACGGGCAAAACATTTTGATTGATTGAGTATGGGAGATGAAGAAGCCAGAGGAATTAAATCTGGAACAGCTCTCAGATTGCCTCTTCAGATAACTGGTATTGTGGAGACATTGATCCAGACAGGGAAGAGAAGTGGAGGGATGCCTTCCGAGTCAGTAGCCAAAGACATAGTCAGTATTTGACATATTTAAGTGCTAAACGTAACAACTAGGTAGAGAACTCTGGACGGGATCTTTCTAATTTCTAAAGGTCTATGACTGTAAGACTCCAGAACTATGATTGACAGTTGAGCTAATCTCAGGAAAAAAGACGTCGATTAAAAATGAACTTTGTGGGAGGACTTAAAGAAGAGGAGTTGGTTAGTAGAAAAAGAGCTGCATTTTTTTTAATCTGTGAAAATCGCTTATACTTTATACAATAATAGCAATGACATAAGGTAAACAGTTGGTAGTTTTAAATTTTAGTTATGGTTCTATGTTACATAATTTTTGAAGTGACCAACAATACCCATTTGTCCACGTGCTGCTCAAATCATAGGTACAGATTGTGGTCTTAGAATAGAACTATAATATGCCACATGTTCTATGTCTGGACCAAAACTTCTGTATCTGTCCTTATTTAATATGGAGAATGAGTGTGGAAGAAGTAAACAGCTTGATATTTACCATTCAAGGTGGTTTTGTCATTTCTAGGTAAAATGGGGACCAACTTGAAATAAGAAGGAGACTTACCAGATTTGGGATAGGTGGCAATGACAAGGTCATCTGCTCTTGCCTCAAATGCTTTTATGTCATCCTAGTACTGGACAAATTCTTTATACAATAGAATTCCATAAATTCTGCCAAAGTATTCAAAATAGTCAGGTTTGGAAGGCCTAATCATAGACTAGTACACTGAAAGAAAAAAGAAAATTTTCCACTTTGTAAGTACTTTAAAATTATTTTAACGTTAATACTAGCTGTGTTTATTGAAATTTTCTTGGGTGTCTAGCATTTCTTAGCTGTTGTACAGATGGGGTAAAGGTATATTAAAGAAGTATATAACATAATCTTGGTACTTTAAGAATTTCTGATCCTATTAAAGAGATAAGTCTAACATATTAAAAAATAAGAAAGTACAAATCACTATAAAGTAAAATATTTAAAACCATATAAAAATGTGTGATAAATTTATATCATATTTATGCATAATAAATTCCCTGATGAATGAAAACCACAGAGGTTTTAATTTCTCTGTCAAAATTGATGAGGCATATAAAAAACTAAGAAGAAATATAACAGTATTTTGGTAAATAATCACTTTGATTAATTATGTATGTATTATGTAACAATAAAGACTGATGGTCTCATTTAATAGCTTTTGCCAGATCTCAAATTCAGAGCATCTTTAGTTCCTGAATATGTTTAATTTAATGAAAAAATTCAAATGCTTGGTGAGCATATTTAAAGAGGATGAAATTAATGACATTGCAATAGATATCTAAGACATAGATTCTCAGGGTACAGAAGGCTCCTTTGTAACCTCTCACAGTACCTTTACTATTCTCTCTTATGTATCAGTAAAGTTGAATACACTCCCATTGACTAACTTGTCTGAATATTATAAAGTTCAACAAGATGGTTATTATTGGTGATTCATCTCCTGATCCCATGACATCCCAGTTCATGTTCAGGGTTAATCACAGAATATTTAATTAAGCAAAGTTTCCTTCATTGGCTTTCAACATCTTTCACTACCTTCTGTTCCCCACTGAGTTTGTGATACAGCTTTTGACAAATCTGTCCTTCCTTGATATTAGTCTTTCTCTGTCTTCTTTTATCCACACTTTCCCAAAAAGCTGGCTGGTAAATTGTTATACACTCACACAACTGTGACTGCTATGGCTTTTATTGTCTTTTTCAAAGTTTGTATTATAACATGAGTCTCTTGGAGGCAATAGTTCTTTTAGCCACCTAGTGTGTTTCCTTTAATACAGAGAATCCCAGTGTGGGAGAGGGGCACTGTAGAAAGAAAATGAAGTTAGTAGATCTGTAACAAATGGATTAACCCAAATAAAGAAATATCTGATGGTAAAATTTTAGGAAAAGTATCTGAAAATTTAAAAAAGGAAACCTCATTAGCAGATAGTCCAGAGACCAGAAGTGGGAGCCATACCCCTCCACACCAATATCAGACCCTACAAGAGGAATGCTCAGCAGGAAAGAATCATCAATCACACGCCCCAACAGGGAAGGAGGTACAGTGCAGCTGCTGTAAGAACTTGACTATCCCAGCAACTCAGCCAAGGACAAACTGTACTCACTCTGAATCTCTTGCTTTTCTCTAATGGACTTTTGTTCAAAACAGCCCCTCCCAACTTTTTTCTTCTCCTCTATAAAATAACATTTCTCAGTGTGGTATCCACATATAAATCAAGTATAAAAATCAAACGAATATTCATATTTGAACTGACTGTTTATAGTTCATAATGCATGAAACCAAAAGTTTCTGTGATGACTGCCCTTGTACTGTTCACCATGTAACTTATTCACTATGTAAGAATTTGTTCTCCGTGTAAGAACTTGTTCGTTATGCTTCAGAAGATTGGAGACTGACGAGAATTAGGCTTGGGGTGGATTAATGATTGTACATTGAACATTGAGTCCCCTATACAGAATTTTATTGTTGTTAACAACCATTTGATCAATAAATAGGGGAGATATAGGGGAGATGCCCTCACCAAAAAAAAAAAAAATACACACTTCCAATTGTAAAATAAATAAGTAACCAGGATGTAATGTATAGCATAAGGAATATGGTATGGTGATAGCTGGTACCTGGAATTATCATGTATATAAATGTTGAATCACTGTGTTGTACACCTGAAACTAATGTAATACTGTATGTCAACTACCCTTCAATAAAAAATAATTATCTAAAAAAATAAATAAATAAATAAATAAAATTTCTCTCCTTTGTTGGATTTGCCTATGGTTTGCCAAAACTTGCATGTCTTGAATTGAAATTCTCTGTTATTTCCAAATAAACTCATTTTTGCTGGTAAAATAACTGAGAGTTTTATTTTTAAGGTTAACATGTCCTGCAGATCAAACCAAATAATTAGACCACTGAATTATACTAAAGGCTTCTGCTGGTAGTGTTTTCCCCATCCCCACATTTCCAGGCTGCCCTTTACAAATGAACACTTTCAGATGTTGCTGCTTAACTTTCCTTCAACAACATCAGGCACTGAGTCCCACTGGTTCCATCTCTATTGTTTTCCATTTTCTGCCTTTGTGGTCACTGCCCTAATTCAGAACTTGTCCAATTGTTGATTAATTTTGAAAATAACATTTTAACTTCCTGTAAATAGTGCATATCTCCTTTTCCTACAAAAAGTGCATATCTCTTCTTCCTACAACTATCAAAAGAAGGAAAATGGATTTTATTTACTAAGCACTTGTTTTGTGCTAGACTTGAAAAGCTTTATTTTAAAATGTTATTTATATGTCATAAAATTCTGTGAAAAAGCAGATCATTATCAATTAGGTTTTTTTGTCCTGAAGCAGACTCCTTGAGGACAGAAACACCATTTATCTTACTCAAAGAGGGATAAGTAATAGGCACACATATATGCATACATGTAAACATGTACATATAAATATCCTTATTTTTGGCATGTGATTATTGAAAAAATTAAATAACATAGAACATGAACGTGCTTTCCTTATTCTACCCTCAGAGATAATCACTTCTAACAATATTGTATTTATTCCTTGAAATGTATAAATGTACATATAAAACCTATACACTTATGTGTATATAATAATTTGTATTATATTTTATATTCATTTTGTACTCTATTTTTTCACTGAACTCTATAACATGAATATATTTTGGAGCTGATGCACAAATTATGTTTTTATTCTTTTTTTTTTTAATTTGGGAAGGGTGCACCAATCCCAGAGCTACTGCAATACCTGGTCGATGCATGGAGAAGATGGAGCAAGCTCCTATTCCATCTCCCTGCTCCCAAAATCCATTTAATATATTGTCCTCAGATAGAAGACATTTCAGATAGTAAAGTGCTAAGAAAAAAAAATACACTTAAGCTTAGGCAAAAGGCTGATAATGATCTGTTTTTATTCTTATGAATGACATATAACAGTCCATAGTTGGATGTAACAAAGATAATACAATTCTTTACTGATGGAAATTCCTGTTTTTCCCAGTTTTTTCCATATAAGTAGCACTGCAGTGAATGTCTTTGAATATAGACAATGAAATTGACAAAGTAAAAGGTACTTTTACCTGTCTTTGCAGTGACAATGGAACTGGCAAAGTAAAAGTATACACATGTAAGATATTAGTAAATTTTTTTTACAAAATCACTAAAGGTATACCAATTTTCACAGCACATGAAATTGCCTATATTCTTACATCCTCACCAGTTCTGGGAATTATTTGCCGTAATTGTCCATATTGAATATGGACAATTAAAAAAATCTGTATTTCATAGATGCTTTGTAATTTTTCATATTTTTATATTTCATAAGTTTACTGGTTATTTTAATCATTTTGATCCATTTTGCCCATCAGGAATGTTACTTCCTCCTAAATGACTGATAGCTAGTCATTTATTACTAATTTATGTACTGAAGATTATCTGTAGTTTTTCTGTCTTATATGCCAGTTATCTTTTAAGATTTTTAATGATGTTACACAAAAGTTTGTTGCTCATATAATTAAATGTCTCAAATTTCTGCCTTAGAGTTGGTATGGGCACCTAAATATTTAAATGTGTTTACATAATAAAAGGTACTTACATGCTAAAAATTTATATATTTGTGTTAATTTAGACGTTCACTGTGCATGTAGTAGAGAGTAGAGTCTAGTTATTATGAGTGGGCTTTAAAGCAGATCATCTTGGTTTAAATCCTATCTCTGCTATTTGAAATTGTATTATCTTGACAGATTACATTAGCTGGACTGTGCTCCATTTTCTCATCTACAAATTTAGAATGATCATAATTATAATACTTCCTGAAATAGTTACTAGGAATGAGAGGATAATCCTGATCAATTATAAATGCTTAATAAGTATGAACTTATATTTTTATTATGCCAAGTCCACACAATAATACAAACGAGTCAGACACTTTGAACTCTCATTTAGTAAGAGTACACATTACACAGTAATGTCTCTGTTCAAAGCAGGGGATATGTGTTGTCAAAAGTTCCTGAGAATATATTTCATAAGTATAAAATTATCTGGAGAAACTCATAGTCAATAATCTGTTCTCTTACTGGAAAGGATAAAATCTATAAATGTTCAATGTGACTTTTGCTCCTATTTGATTACATAAAGTTCTCTGAGACAACTCACTGTGACATTCACTTCATTTTGAGCCCAGGTTGCATGCCAGAAGAAAAGCACAATGAGAGTTTTTTATTTGTTTGTTCTTATGGCTTGACGTTTGTTTTGGGAAGTACAGGGCTAGCAGTTATGGATGCTTTTACCAAAAGTAAAAATATCTCAGTCCCTGGGGGCAAATCCAACTCTCAGTACCTCCCTCTCAGGTATCTCAGATGTAATCCTAACAAAATTATGAGATTTGATTACACATCAGTCTTATTAATAAATCACCTTCTAGCTCTCAGAGATCTCCATCCTCCTCTCCTCCATGTTCAGTCTGCCTTCATCCAGCAAGTCTTACACTCTGTGTGAGTCCCCACCTTGTGCCCAGGAGAAATGTTAGGTGCTGGGATACTATGGTGAGTATAGGTGCATAAGGCTCACTTAGTTCTCCCCACCTTGGGTTTACCTGGATTTGGGAAAAATGGTTGAAACAGAATATCCTTTTGTACATTTTTCCATCCCAGGTCTCAGCAGTGTATCACAG